TTTTCTCAAACAGACAACCACTACACTTTTTTATACTTTGTGATGTCATGTGGCAATAGACAGGCTGGCGTCACCTCGTGCCTCCGCTCAATTTAATTTCTTTCCAGTGACTAGATCAGGAATCGGAATACACTAGATGTTTTGCAAAAACCCCGGAAGTACGAGTTCAGGCACCTGCCAATCAGCGTGTTGGCAACGATTCCCAAGGTCGAGGCCAACCGTTGAACGAACGAATCCTAATGCTGCGAGGTCAGACGGTTTCCACGAAATTAAACCAGTTGATGAACCAGGCTAATGTGGCAATACAAGAAGTGCTCCACTGTGTTTTTAAACTCCACACACCTTCATTAGAATTATTTGGATGATTTCAGGCAAGGAATTGCCAGGAGTTTCAATGCAACTAAAGGCCACTACTACTACATGACATCACAAATTGGAACAGAGCATTTTAGAGCTTTAGGGATGTAGACAGACTAATAAAAAAATACTCAAACATGTGCGAATGAAACAAAACACAACTCCAGGTGTGTTTTTAATGAGGTAACTGCATTCTGTAAACATGACTTAAAGCTCACAAGAGACATTTTTGCGTAATATAGGACCTTTAAGACTCCTAAAACGGTAGATCTGATGGAAAAAAGTTAAAACCAGCCCTCCAAAACTGAGCAAATGAGCAGTGAAGTCTATTTGTAATATGCACACTGAATTACGTAACCTGTGACCCTGCGTCGCCGTGGAGATGACAGGTATGTCAGCTTCAGACACAAACTATTTAAGTTCAAAAAGCCCTCATCTGTATGCCCGCCTCCGTACGCAAGGTTATGTGGTTCGACTGCACAATGTCAGCGCGCCCTTCATCAGCGCCGTGTTAAAGTACGGTAATGAGGAGTTTGCTATGGCATGAGGAAAGAATGCAGTTTTTAATTAACTATGGTTGAAAAATGTGGGAAATTATATTACATTTTGGCGATTTTGTAACCAGGCGACTGAAAAGTAGTTAAAGTGCCAATCACAGGTTTCTGGACTACTCATTTGACTAAAACACAGTGAAGATCATTATATTTACCCAATTTTGGCAATTCGTCATGACATCACACTAGGGAATTACACAAATCCTACCTAGAAACCGTGCTAAAAGTAGACGTTTCGTTTGTCAAAATAAAACGAAAAATAAGAAAACGGAAAAAAATAATTAAAAAACTTTATTTTGTTGTCTCTAAAATCAAATGAAAAATTGGAGACCAGCCCCAGACCAGACCAGGACTGAGACCAGTTTAGTCCTGGTTTAGTCCTGGTTTAAATCTAGTTTTAGACCTGTTTTAGTCCTGTTTAGTCCTGTTTTAGACCTGTTTTAGACCTGTTTTAGACCTGTTTTAGACCTGTTTTAGACCTGTTTTAGACCTGGTTTTAGACCTGGTTTAGACCTGGTTTAGACCTGGTTTAGACCTGGTTTTAGACCTGGTTTAGACCTGGTTTAGACCTGGTTTAGACCTGGTTTAGACCTGGTTCAGACCTGGTTTAGACCTGGTTTAGACCTGGGTTCTGGTTTAGACCTGGTTTAGTTCCTGGTTTAGTCCTGGTTTCAGACCTGGTTTAGTTCTGGTTTAGACCTGGTTCAGACCTGGTTTAGACCTGGTTCAGTTCTGGTTTACACTTGGTTTAGACCTGGTTCAGTTCTGGTTTAGTCCTGGTTTCTACCTGGTTTAGTTCTGGTTTAGACCTGGTTTAGACCTGGTTTAGTCCTGGTTTAGTCCTGGTTTAGTCCTGGTTTAGTCCGTATGCAGTACAAAAGTTCGGCATCGCAGTTTAAGTCACGGAAACTGTAAACGGCTGTTATCCATTTTTTCCATTATTCATGGACAAAACACAAACTCACACAAAATCAAAAAATGAAAAAACGAATCATAATCCGTTTTTTTCATTTTGGTATTTGAGACAAATAATGAAGAAAATAGCTGTTTTTTTTACATTTTCTTATTTTCGGTTTTATTTTGAAAAACAAATAAACAAATGATACACAGATTCAACTCCTCTATAAAAATATATAAAACCTTTATTTTGTTGAAATTATGTTTAAAGTATCAGAAAAATATGTTTCTAACGTAAATTATGGCCGCGTCTCATTTCTCTTTCCTCGCGTCCTTCTCCTCGATTCCTCTCCTCCATCCTCCATTTTTCCGCTGTCAATCAAATGTGTCATATTAGTGGGGTCCCAAAGAAAACCACGGAAGGAAGGAGAAAACCTGAGGGAGGCTTCAGGAGGTAAATATAGAAAATCATCAAACTTTATTGGTCTCAGTGAGCAGTTTATATCCTCTCTCCTCGCTTTGTCTCCTCTGTGGGCGGGACCTTCCTTAACCATTTCCTGCAGAATCGAGGAAAGGAAGCGAGGAAAAGGAAGCGAGGAAAGAGAAATGAGGCACGGCCAATGTCTAATTTTGGGACAGAATTCTCCCCAGCGTGATATGGGTCTCTCTAAAATATTACTCTCTACTTCAGTTAACACTTTACAATAACTACACCTTATTTAGCCTTAACAAAGCATGAACAAAGACTTAATTAATAATGATTCACGCTTAGTAACTACTTAATTACTACCTGAATCAGCATTTAACTTGCACTTAATTCGCCTGTGCTGTAAATAGTTACTCATAATGTATTTCTTACTTAATTGCTCATGAACTAACCGTTTGTGTGTGCATTTGTAAATGTATATTTAAGTCCAAATTTGAGCATTTATTAATGATTAGTAAGCCATGAAAGAATGATTTACTAGTAATGTATTATTGTTTCTCTGGAATTTGACCAACCTTAACAAATGTTTAATAAAGCATAATTAGTCTTCACTTTAGAAAAGCTCTCAGAAAGACTTAACTAACAGATAACAGCATTGCATTATTAGTAAATTATTCTCTCATAGCTTACTAATCATTAATAAATGCTCAAATGTGAACTTAAATATGCATTTGTAAACATGCAAATGGTTAGTTCATGAGTAATTAAGAAGTATTGAGTAACTATTTACAGCACAGGTGAATTAAGTGCAAGTTAAGTGCTAATTCAGGTAGTAATTAAGTAGTTACTAAGCATGAATCATTATTAATTAAGTCTTTGTTCATGCTTTATTAAGGCTAAATAAGGTGTAGTTATTATAAAGTGTTACCTCTACTTCCTTTAATTTTCAGTATTTTTTTATTTTTTTTTTACTTTTCTTCACATGTTGCTTTTTGATCTGTATAAAACTATAACTTATATTTACAACAGGTATAATCCCACCAAATTATAAGTACAAGTACAAATCAGAGAATCATATGCACTTTAAACAAAGAGATAACTACACAAAATTTACAACTTCATGGCATAAACTTTCGCAATAACTTTCGCAAACATAAAAAACACCTTTGGTACAACTTCCTAATAACTATACTATTTACAGCCTTAATAAAAGGACAAAATTATTGAAACTTTATTTTTTGGAATATGAATTTGCAAATAACGTAATAAAAGTGTGTGATATATTGTGGAGCCCTATACAGAGGAGAAAATGAGGTGATAAAAGCAGTATTTAGGAGTATTTTATGGGGCTTGGCAACTCCAGCAGAACTAAGTCTACCGAATTTGTAGATACTTCGTGCTGCTACTTTACTTCGTTTTAAATGTTTCCTTTATGTTTGCTTATTGTAACTGAGCTGTTGTGATCTGCTGTTCTAGTTTATTGTATGTAGAACAAATTAATGAAACTACATAATAAAAAAGAGGAGTTACAGTTGTGTGTAAGTTGAAACCGAATAATAAAAAGTGGAATTGTACTCGTGGAACCAGCGAGAAACATCCACAAGAGCCTCAACATTAACAAGGTAACAACTTATACTCTCACAAAAAGAAACAAAAGCACTTATCTATGAACCAGAGGGTTACTGGTTCAGTTTCCAGCCTGTCTTTGGTTACGTTTACACTGAAACAACTCACTGAATCACCATATCAGAAACGATTTGCGTCCAGACACATCGTTTCTGTGTTTGCAAGCCTGCCCTGTCCACACAGCTTTGAGCATATTTGTTTACATTTTACAGAAACAAAACTTAAAACCACATGGCTCATTTGCATAAACTAAGTGCTCAAAAAACAGCTCACTCCTTTTGCCCTGACGCGGTTCAGCTTCTGTCGGACTAAAGGACACAGCTCAGTGGAATATAAGTGTTCTTTCTGTGACAGAGGGGTGTTCTGCTGATGGTGAGTCTGTTCTGTGCAAGTCGTTCTAGCTACTCTGTTTTCCTGTTTGTCTATGGTTTGTATAAACATTTTTCTGCAATAGCATCACATGACCGATGTCATAAACCCAACAACTCAGGAAGGCGCAAGTTACAGTGACGTGGTCCAACGACGGCAACTAGAGCTCCTACGTCAGCGTATCAGCGTTTTCAGGCGTCCACACAGTGCCAAATCAGATCCATACTTTGTGGGAGCTGGCGGCACCAGATCATTCCGTCTTTGGAGCCATTTTCCATCAGATTAGTGTGGACGAACACTACATCCGCAACGAAAAGGACTCAAATATGTACTAGTGTGGATGGGGCCTTTGTGTCCCTGTGCAAGACACTTCTAGATATTACATATACTACAGGAACAAGGCTGATTATGAGAGGAAGGGCATCCAGAATAAAGTCTTTTTTCTAGGGATTTTTAAATTTGTGAACTTAATACAATTTTACTTTTATGAGTCAGCCTTAGCATAGATTTTAAAATATTGATATGGACTTTGTTTCAAATACCAAGTAGGAAAAAAACTGAGGCACTCAAAAAGTACAAAATAATTAAAAGCCTTTAATACCACATGGCAGATAAAGTTAAAATATGCCAACGCTTTTCGGCCCTTCGGCCTTCATCAGGGCAAACTCCAGAGGGACTTTGTTTATTATATGTTGAACAAATTAATAAAATAATAAAAAAGAAGAGTTTAACAGGCTGAAATTGAATAATAAAAAGTATCTTGTACTCACATAGAGCTGCACCCTGCGCTGTTCGTCCTCTGTGGCGATCCTCTCTCTGACGATGGCCTGTTGGAGGTCTCCTTCAGCAGCTGCTCTCTCTGCAGACAGGAGCTTGGACACTTGGTCCTTCACCTGAGACTGAGCCGAGGCCTGGGCGTGGGCTGTGACTCTGGCCCTCTCAGACTCCAGCCTACAGACATAAAGACATATAAACACAGATGAAGCTACAGCAGTGGGTTAAGGCAAGAATCCATTAAATGGTTTAATCAAAGTTCAAATCGATTTGTGTGGAAGAAAATCTATTTTTATTTTCTCCACTTTCTTGCACTGGATATTGTATTGAAAATGCAAAAAAGGCTGTTCACTGGAGTCACAGGGACCAAAGGTTATCACAGGGCCATGCAGCTCTGAAGCTTTGAAATCAGTGACGTCAAATTAAATGTTGCGGCTCTACGTTTAAGGTTTGACTACCCCAAATTTAAGACTTTTTAAAGACCTTTTTAAGACCACTTACATGAAAATTAAGACCAACATCGCACCCATCATGTGGACGAAAAACACCAACTCCAATTCTAATAATGACCAACCAACTATTACATCTAGAATCTAAGAGCCGCTGTGGATTAAACCTACACTTCCCCATGATCCATCCAACATTTTACCACTGTACTGATTGTTTACTCATTGCTGTTGGCACCAGAAACCAAAATATTGTATGTGCAAACTCCAAATTGACTGTTCATTTCACGTTTTTTCCCTCTCTTCATTTAACATTGCACTGCAGCCTGGTTGAGTAAACAAAACAAAAAAAATAGGCTGAAATTTAAGACCTTTGTGAAAAAATAAAACTTGGACAACAGAATTTAAGACTTTACAAGGCCTTAATTTAGGAACATGAAATTTAAGAACTTTTTGAGACTTTTAAGACCCTGCAGCTGCCCTGTTATCTGATTCATAAAAGATTTTCAATTGGGTTAAATACAGTGTTGGGGAGTAACAGATTACATGTACCGGAGTTATGTAATCAGAGTACACATTATGAGTAACTGTATTCAGTTACAGTTACAGTTTTAATGAGTGGTAATTGGATTACAGTTACTTTGTTGAAGTAAATTGATTACACTGCAGTATTTTCTTGTTTTCACATTTTGGGCTGTATTCCTTTTTTCTTTTCTTTTTTTTCGGTAATTCCACTCATTGCCGGACACTAAACCAGGTCCAAACCGGGTCTACAACCAGGTCTAAAACAGGATTTAACAGGACTAAGCCAGGACTAAAACCAGGTCTAAACCAGGTCTAAACCAGGTCTAAACCAGGTCTAAACCAGGTCTAAAACAGGATTTAACAGAAATAAACCAGGACTAAAACCAGGTCTAAACCAGGACTAAATCAGGACAAAAACAGGTCTAAACCAGGTCTAAACCAGGTCTAAACCAGGTCTAAACCAGGACTAAACCAGGACTCAAACCAGGTCTAAAACAGGATTTAACAGGACTAAACCAGGACTAAAACCAGGTCTAAACTAGGTCTAAACCAGGACTAAACCAGGATTAAAACCAGGTCTAAACCAGGTCTAAACCAGGACTCAAACCAGGTCTAAAACAGGATTTAACAGGACTAAACCAGGACTAAATCAGGACAAAAACCAGGTCTAAACCAGGTCTAAAAACAGGTCTAAACTAGGTCTAAACCAGGACTAAACCAGGACTAAAACCAGGTCTAAAACAGGATTTAACTAAACCATGCTGCGTGGACTGTGTCTCCTCTTCTTCTAGCAAAAATATTTTTAATAAAGTCTGGGCTTTTTTATTTCCTTTTAGCAGGCAAAACTTCTTATGTTACGATATCCTTGTCTTTGCTTCTCTACAGCAAACCAAGTAATCCAAAGTATTCAGATTATGTTACTCACTTTAACTAATTTAATGGATTACGTTACAAACTACATTTTGGGGTCTGTAATCTGTAATCTGTAGGGGAATACATTTTAAAAGTCACCTTCCCAACACTGGTTAAATATGATAACTGAAGAATTTTTTTCAGTTCACAGAGTCTTTGTACCAATGTTCAGCTTTGAAACAAGGAGAAGGAAAGTGTATCTGATAAACGAAAAAAAAAAAGCTGTACTAAACAGGTACACAAATACGTGATGATCTGTGTTTTGAGGTCTGACAGGGAACAAGAAAACTCTTTAAACAAACGCAAACAAACTAAGTCCTTTAATAACCTGAAATCAGTATAGTTCAGAGATACGCCACTTCCCCTTCATCACAACGTCCCGGCAGAATAATTTGTAATGTAAAAGTGATATATAGACTGTGGAAATACGCGCCGCGCACAGAAACAAGACCAGAGTTTGAACCCTGTCACCGGATTCTCACAGTCGCCTAGCAACGCACTGCCTTCAGCGCGACAAGGCGGTTTGATCGGAGCGTCCCTGAATCTCCTCCTCCGCCAACCAAAGAGGAAAACTGAGGTAAAATAAACACAGCAATAAGTTAAGATGTAGACGAGTGAATGTGTGAATTGTGACATGATAAGAGCTAAAGGATATTCATTAAAAAGAAGACGTTTTTTTTTTTTTTTTTAAAGGAACAGTGTGGAACTTTCTGGTCTCCTGTAGGATTCTGCGGAAATAGAAAGTTAAACGTCCGTATTAGGTCATTTCTGATCCAGTGTTGGGAAGGTTACTTTTAAAATGTATTCCCCTACAGATTACAGATTACATACGCCAAAATGTAGTTTGTAACGGAACCCATTAAATTACTTAAAGTGAGTAATGTAATCTGAATACTTTGGATTACTTGGTTTTCTGAAGAGAAGCAAAGACGAGGAAATCTTCACGTAAGAAGTTCTGTCTGCTAAAAGCCCAGACTTTACTTAACGAAATTAAAAATATTATTGATAGAAGAGGAAAAGACACGGTCCACACAGCATGGTCTAGTCCTGTTAGATCCTGTTAAATCCTGTTTTTAGTCCTGGTTTAGTCCTGGTTAAGTCCTGGTTTTAGTCCTGGTTTAGTCCTGGTTTTAGTCCTGGTTTTAGTCCTGGTTTTAGTCCTGTTTTAGTCTTGTTTTAGTCTTGTTTTAGTCTTGTTTTAGTCCTGTTTTAGTCCTGTTTTAGTCCTGTTTTAGTCCTGTTTTAGTCCTTGTTTTAGTCCTGTTTTTAGTCCTGTTTTTAGTCCTGTTTTTAGTCCTGTTTTTAGTCCTGGTTTAGTCCTGATTTTAGTCCTGGTTTAGATTTGGTTTAGTCCTGGTTTAGTCCTACTTTAGACCTGGTTTAGTCCTGGTTTTCGTCCTGGTTTTCGTCCTGGTTTTAGTCCTGATTTAGATCTGGTTTAGTTCTGGTTTAGTCCTGGTTTAGTCCTGGTTTGGATCTGGTTTGGACCTGGTTTAGTGTCCAGCAATGAGTGGAATTACTGAAAAAAAAAAAAAAAAAAAAAGACAGATTTAGCCCAAAATGTGAAAACAGGAAAATACCAGCGTGTAATCCATTTATTTCAACAAAGTAACTGTAATCCAATTCCCACTCACTGAAACAGTAACTGTAACCGAATACAGTTACTCATAATTAGTACTCTGATTATGTAACTCCGGTACATGTGATCTGTTACTCCCCAACACTGTTCTGATCTATGTCATAATGTTGTTTCCTCATCACAAACAAACCTGGAGTTGTGTTTTGTTTTATTAACACACTCCATCCACCTTCACTAGAATCATTAGGATAATTTCAGCCCTGGAATTGCCGATCTCTACTGAACTAAAGGTAAAAGATAATGAAAACTACCACTATGTGACATCACAAGGTGGAACAGAGCATTTTGAGTATTGGAGATGTAGACAGATTAATAACAAAGGGTTACTCAAACATGTGTGAATGAAACAAAGCACAACTCCAGGTCTGATTTTGATAAACATGTCTTAAAGCCCATTTAGAGTCAATTTTGCGTAATATAGGAGCTTTAAAAGCATACTCTGGAACATTCTCCATGGAGATGTATCCGTTTTGTGCCACACTGTGGAATATTATAGTCAAAGAAACAACATTTCCATGGAAACAAGCAGGTGGTGGCTCTGCTCAAGGCCAAATAATGTTCAGGTTTGTGGAGATGCAAGCACACTCAAAGTAAGTATGCATGTTTTTCAGTGCAATAAAAAATAAATAAATAAATACATGCCTGCATTTTATTTATTTTTTTGGATAGAAGCTTACATACTGTGACTATTGAATCAAAATAAACATATCATGCCAGTATTTTAACAATTATTGTGGAAGTCGTAGGAATTAGGGCAGTATGAAACAAGACAAAATCACCATATTCAATCATTTCTACTGCCATTTATCACAATGTACCACAAACAATACAATTTCAAAGCGATAATCACTGTTATTGTTTAATGTCCCTAATCACTATCAATCTAGAAGCTTCCTGTGGCCATGCATTTCAATCTTTATTTGGTTAAGAATGTATGAACTGTATTTTTTCGGATTATAAGGCACAATATCAATAATGTTGAATTCTGTCGTCTATTTTCATACATAAGGTGCACCGGATTATAAGGCGCATTAAGCGAAGGCATCCACTATCCACTGGCAGATCGTGGTGTAATTCGCCCGGCGTGTGAACGTGTATTATGAATCTGAATGTGGGTGGATCATTTAAGATAGTTTTTTTTTTTTTTTTTTTTCCCTACAAGGAAGACTCAAATGTACATTGAGTAATAATGTGTTTAATGCAGCTTTGCGCACATTTGTTTACGTTTTACAGAAACAAAACTTAAAACTACATGGCTAATTTGCATAAACTATAAGCGCTGAAAAAAACAGCTCGCTCCTTGTGCGCTGATGCGGTTCAGCTTCTGTCGGACTAAAGGACACGACTCAGTGGAATATGTGTGTTCTTTCTGCGACAAGGCGACGGCAGCCATGTGCATTGAGTTGAAGGAGAATTATAGTTCACCCTTTACTTCACGAGGCACTTGATTGCGGTAGCCGTAATGCTCCGACAATCCAGTCAGGTCAGGGGTGTCAAACTCAAATTCACAGAGGGCCAAAAATTTAAAATTGGGACTAAGTCGTGGACCAAACTAAATATTTACTGATAAATTTCAGCAATCTGCATGTCTTCTCTTCTTTCGAGATATGTAATGTTCAGCTTTTTCTTATTTAAATAAATGTTTAATAATAGTT